TTTCAAACAAGTCTACTTCTAGTGTTCTTAACCATTACACTTACATATCAACTGAAATACTGTTCAGAGGAACTATACGTTACTGCTCTGCTAATGTGCAAGAAAGAGGTGAACAGGGAAGGATGGATGACTTATGGTGTTTACTTTACATACTTGTTGAACTTCGAGGGCCACTGCCTTGGGCTCGTGTGCGGTGGGTATCTTTTACAACAGCTTTTTGTATATACTTGAACCCAACTTAGGGATAGGCAAAGAGTGCTTAGATTGAAAAAGGACATTGATCTAGAGGAGTTATTGGAGAACTGCCCAGTGGAGCTGATTCCATTCGCAGAACATATCAGGTTGTAAGCTCAATTGAATGCGTTTGGTTAATAAACATAGCCCCTTTTAGTACTTTGAATTACTACCTCCGACCAGATTATAAATTGCTGTATAATTTACTTGAACAAGTAATGAATTCCGGAAAAATCAGGTTAAGTCGAAGTTGCTTTACTCATGTATATAAATAATACGGCAAAGCCAAACAATTTCTTGTAGAAATTTTAAAGCGCCTTTATTGCTCTGCATAAAAAAAAGCAGCCGCAATCAGCAAGTTACGTTGTCTAGAAGTTTTTTTACCATTAGGCTGGGTGACCTCAGTTTCGGGTAATCAATATCTCAGTTAAGGGTTTTGAGTCGAAACAGGCCACAGTTAAGACATCTCTAGAACTTTATCCCGCAACTTTGGATATTTATTGATTTAATCTTCTAGAAAAAAAAGGAGCAGAAGTAACTCCTACTTCTATTGTTTGAAGAAATGCTGCTCTTTTGAGTAAAAGTCGAGATAAATAAAAGAACTCCTCTGACGAAGTGAAGATGGTGTTTGGGGAATTGAATGAACAAAAAATAACCCTATCCACAGTTGAAACTGCAATAGGTTTTGCAGCAGGTCTTAAAAGAAATATATGCTCGTGATTGAAAGTGTTTAATTTGCTACTTGCGGCTACTTCACTTTAGGAAGCGTATGCTGCCTCATACCAGCGGAGAAGCGCACTCGAACCTCTTGGCGTAAGCAACCAGTTTTGAACTGGGCCTAGTGATTGGCTCACATCAAGCCAATGCGGCAACGCTTTGCGATAATTTTTTTGTAGTAGCGAAAGCACGCTCCACTGTTGGGTGAGGTCCAACCACGGCGGCAGGCCTCCGGAAGGCAAGCTGGAATTCGTTTTTGTGGAAAAAGCATATGGGAAATCGTATGGGGTCCGGAGAAGAGCGGAGTTCAATCTCAATTAAGACCGCTTTTTCCACAACAAGA